TAATGATTAAAATGATCTAATAACATGTAAATAGATGAGTCATGATAGATTCTTTTATTTGATAAATAGATAAAACGTTTAAAACATCATTTTGTTTTAGTCGGTTATCATTAAAAACAGAATCTGATACAATAATGAGTTGGCTCACATTTTTATGGTCATATAAGTATGCTAAGATGAATAATTTCACTGTTGGTTCTAATGAGAATGGTTAAACATTGAGAGATGGAGTTCATAAGGAAGAGTTTGGGTTAGTGGGATAATATTGATACTCAATATAAAATAGACATACAAGTTCTCTCATCAATGATCATAGTTATAACATAGACTCATTTCAAGGCGCTCGAATCTACTTGCATGAATTTGTCTAACAGTTAACGGTTTCAGGGATAAAGCCATGTTTGAACTTGGTCATCACTTAATTTCCTTCAAAATATTCTTACTTCAGCTGGCACTACACTTTAAATTTGGTAATGGTTGGGTATAGACTATGTATATCTAATCTACACAGTTGAAGAAGCTTCATTACCTCATCAACCGATATTCCGTATTACTTTGGTGTTCAGCGTTTGACTTCAAAACTGTCTATTCGGTTGTTTCACAATACACGAACAATTCTTCGAAGAAAGCCAAGATCAAAAATGACAGTCTACGCATATGATCTGCTTTCAAAGAGTATTCTAGAGTAAATATCTGGGCAGTATACATGTATATTGGTTGGCAGAAGAATTCCTTATGTGATGAAAGTTGACGAAAGCTAAAAGAGCTGTCTGAATCAGTAAGGAAAATTCTCTAGACATCAACCTACTTTGGCTGATGAGACTTCCAAGATAAATAAACTGATCAACACGTCCAATAACTTTACTCTCTGTTTTTGATTTTCATTGTTTTCTGAACTTGAGAAAATGGGTTTCCACCTATGTCTCTAGTTAGCATTACCTTCTAAGATCCTAAAGCATTTCCTAGCCTTTTGGTCTAAGTTGCTAACTCACATCACTGTTTTTGTAGGTGGATGAAAATAGACTCACAGTTTCATAAGATAAACATTCTCTACATTTCTAACTAAGTGATTTGTTGGATTCGCTTAAAATATACTTGATTTTATTGTCTCCTAAGTGAGGTCGACTAGGTTTTGCTGTTTCATTTTTTCTACATTAGGGGTGGCAATAATAATTAACTTAAGCTGTACACTCGTATTAATAGTTCATAGAATTATATGAAAGTTTACATAATTAAGTGGTTCGAGACCCTAATTATCAAATGAGGTTACGTAATAATCAGGGAGTTAGATAAAAATAGAAGGAGGAGCAAGGCGAAAGATAGACGTATCATTTATCCACGTAGTGTTCGGGCTTGAGTTGCCGATACCTCAGCAGTGCATCAGTTTATCTAACCACCTGATTAATACGTAACCTCATTTGATAATTAAAGTCTCGAGTGACTTTATGGTGTAATCACTGATATCAGTACCGCCTATCAGTATTCAACGTTATATTTTTGTCGGTAGTCACTAATCTAGGGAATAACTTTCCTTATACTTGAAGTTCGTGGTTGCCAGTATATTGTAAAATAATTTGAAAAATAGTTTTTGTATAAAAAGAAGCCAAAATAATAGACATTTCCAAGCCTAAACTGCCAAGATAATGTACTTTACAAACTGTTTCTGTACACAAAAACATGATATATCCGTTGTATGGCTTCAACATTTTTTACAGTGCAATATATACATTTTGAAAATTAAATATTTAGTAAGAAACACATAGAAATGATTATTTTCCTAATAGACTAGGTTCATACTTATACACTATTCGTATAAGATAGGAATACAACCTACGTACAAATTTACTTGGTGTTATTTGCTTATATCGTCCCATCGTTGTTTAGAAAGGTAAATGATCCGTTTCTTATTGGAAAAGATCTTATGTGACAAGAATTATTCTGTGCTGAAATATAAACATCTGTACAACTATCCCAACGTGAGACTGATCAATTGCAGTCTTAAATAACAATGATAAGATACAAGTAAAACAACACCAAGTGAATTTAAACTTCACCCCATTGTACAAGCAGGTGACTATCAGGACTCAGTAGCCAAGTGGATAACGCGATGGCGTTTAGACCGAAGGGTACTGGGTTCGAGTCCCGGAGCGAACATCAACTCTGAGATGTAGATACATCCAGCTGACGAGTCTGAAATAAGACGGAACATGCGTTCTTCATTCCACTGCTAGGCACTATCCATCTTTGCTTATAAAGCTTGTGATTTAAGGTTATATTGAGGCAATCCGCACAGGATGCACATATGCCAACATGAGACTGATCAATTGCAGTCCTAAATAACAATGATAAGATACAAGTAAAACAATACCAAATGAATACCAAATAGAATTATTTATCAAATAGTTTAATAGACATTTACACAGTTATCATTCAATATAAAGATTTAAAACTTCCGGATAGTTAATATGGAAATTAATAATAGTCAAGTTAGTTTAACTTTATTTCTGTTGAAAGATATCAATGAAGGTTTATAAATTTATATATGGGTTCCTATTTAAGATTCTGAGAGAAGAGTTAAGTTGGAGAAAGAAAATAAAAGTGATCAATATTGGCAAATATTCAAGATAAATATTTAGATGTTTAAATTTTTTTAGTAGCTCTTTATTTTGTTGTCATTTAGATTGAACGATTTTGTCGATGGGCTAACAACTTTAGTGACCTGGGATCTGACTCCAAGTAGATTGCATGGATGATAAATATATATATATGACGCCTATCCTCGTATATAGTCATCGACTCAAACTGTGTTAGTCAATAAGAAAATTAAATAAATCAAATAACGAGAATGGACTTGTGAATACATATAGTTTGTATATGAAGCGAATGGAATAGAGGCGAGACGAAATGACGCACAGTGGAAATGACGGGTAAGTCAACTCGATTTAGTCAAGTGTTAATCAATATTTATAGTCATACAAAAATAGGCTGCAGACATGTGATGAATGGGATGAGAGCGGTACACACATATGCGCTCTTATAAAAGCAGTCAAGATTGATAAGCGAATAATTAACAAGGTCAAAATGTGACTCAAGTTGAATGAATAGGTTGGGCTTAACATGTCAACCGACACCACAATTTGATACTTCTGTAAAAATTTCGCTTTGAGCATCTGGTCAGTATTCTACCCCTCACACAAATTGAATGATGAAGTGTGTTGCATATATATTTAGTGTCCACTTGTACCAATGTTTATGTTATTATAAAATAAATATAAGTATTTCACAAGTTATTGAGTTAGGAAAAAAACATGATAGACACTAATACGATCGGATGCCGGTTCAGTGGTCTAGTAGGTCAAGCGTTTGTGTGCGAGACTTAAGGTCCTCGGTTCGAATCTGGCGGGCAGGACCTTTGATGCTCACTTCTGAAGAGTCCGACAATAGGGCGAAACGGCCGTCCAATACTTCCAGGTTTTCCATGGTGGTCTGGCTTCATGATCTTAACTATTGAAATAGTATTTATGCATTGATTATAGTGTAATAGCATTGTTTTTTTTAACTGATCACCATAGTAATCGTGATTATATAATCAGAAGGCGATGAGAAGTGTCAATTACAATTTATTAGGGGATAGCACAAATCAAAAAGTTATAAGTACATCAATCGAATATGAAGCAGAAATGCGAACGTGTGTGTATGAGCAAATACATACGAGCAAATTTATTATCAAATTGTATAACGTTGCAACAAGGCAAAGCAAGAAGTACATATATATATACATGGGAAAGAGGATAAATCATCGAGTGATATTTAAACAATCAACACTTTAGCTAGAATTTGTCATGTACACTAATGATTATAACGGTACAAAGAATTATGTGAATTATTACTATTCAAATAACAATGTTTAATAAGTTAATATAAAGTCTTAACCAAAATTAATCACAAACGAAATTGATTATAGGATAGTAGCAAAATTATTTAAAGTTAGTTACTAATGGAATCAAGGATAGAAAGAAAAAAGAAATAAAGAAAGTATGGTAATTTACTTGGTATTGTTTTACTACGAAATGCTCCTCCTACATTCCACTGTTAACCACTATCCATCTTTGCTTAAAAAGTATAGTGATATTTTGAAAAAAATTACTTTAAAAAAATAAGAAAAAAACACACACCGAATGTTGACCTAAATATAATTTATTTGTAAACTTTAACAAAAAGCAATTAGTTAAATGAACAATGAAAGGAGTTCATAGTTAAAAGACACTGTAAATATATTTACGAACTTTGGCAAAGTAACAGAACAAAATCGAATGTTTTTTTTCCAGGATAGGGGTTGTGGAAATTAAGTTTTTGACTATGATCATGAACCGATTGATGTTAGACCAGCGTTAGAAATCTGGAAGCACTGGACGGCCGTTTCGCCCTATTGTCGGACTCTTCAGAAGTGAGCATCAAAGGTCCTGCCCGCCAGATTCGAACCGAGGACCTTAAGTCTCGCACACAAACGCTTAACCTACTAGACCACTGAACTGGCATCCGATCGTATTAGTGTCTATCATATTTTTTTCCTAACTCAATAACTTGTGAAATACTTATATTTCTTTTACAATAACATAAACATTGGTACAAGTGGACACTAAATATATATGCAACACACTTCATCATTCAATTTGTGTGAGGGGTAGAATACTGACCGGATGCTCAAAGTGAAATAAGTGGGGTTTTTTTAGTGAGTCACATTCCAAATCTTTGACTTAGAAGTTTAATCTATCAAACATTAGATCAACGTTTAAAGATGCAGTCTCATAGTAGTCGTCCAGTGCTTCCAGGTTTTCTATGGTAGTGTCTAGCTCCAATTGACTTATGATTTCACCTATTGAAATTACTAAAAGAAAAATCTCCACAAAACCTCTTCCGATAAACATAAACAAACTTTTAAGCATTTAGATATAAAAATTAAGTAATTAAAAGTATATATATATAATGAATTAACTTACGTAATTTACTTTGATTATTCATTGAATAATTATCCATTATCATACAGAATCCAATTTCATTCATAATTAAACTAATGAATATAATGAAATCAAATCCAATCATTTTCATTGAATTCATTCTAATTCTGATTTAATTACATATTTCTAATATGATTTTTTTTAAAAAAAGTTTTGAGAAGAGAGAGAGGAAGAGTGGTGGGGGTAAAGAAGTTTCTGGAATTTTTCGTTCGTTACCATGCTTTCAAAAAATATTTATTCAATAAATAGGGTTTGAGTTTTTTAAGAAAAGATCAAAAATGTTGTTTGTTTTCGCTTTTTGTTTGAAATTTCACGGCATATTTTTATCATTTCCTGTTAAATTAAATGAGAAATAAAATATATACATATAATAATAGGATAATTAATATTAAATGAATTTGACCAATCAAAATTCCCCTGTAATTTGATTGGATAATTGTGTTTTTGTTGTTGTTGCTGCCTATTTGCTTAGAAATTTGTTTTTTTTTCCAGTAATAAATCACTATTATGAGACAAATTTTAAATACTTAAGATGATAATAATTAACTAATTAATAGGTGACCTATTTGAATATCTGGGCTACCTGTTCTTATCATCTAGATATTTCAATAAGTTATATGTTTCCTTGTTTGTTTTAACACAACATCATAACAATCATTTTTTTTGGTTGAGATCATGAATTAATTGATATTAGACCACCGTTGGAAACCTGGAAGAACTGGATGGCCGTTTCGTCCTAGTATGGGACTCCTAAGCAGTGCGCATCCACGATCCCACACCCCGCAGGATTCGAACCCAGGACCTACTGGCTTCGCGCCTGAGCACTTAATCATTAGACCACTGAGCCGGGATCCAATGGTGTTAGTGTCTAACATCAACCAATCCACGAAATTGCGCGACCAACTTCCATTGTACTGAGGTAGATACCTGTCTCTATCCGAAACGGATTAGCTCCACTGGTCACGACTTCTCACTAGAACTCCGAGAATTCCCTCACGAAGCTAGTCACTAGTGAGCACATGTTAATTATCAGTATGGGGGTTGTGGAGATTGTTAAGTTTTTGTTTGAGATCATGAATTAATTGATATTAGATCACCGTTGGAAACCTGGAAGCACTGGACGCGGGGTGCGGGATCGTGGATGCGCACTGCTTAGGAGTCCCATACTAGTATCTATTTAATCAATGGCAAAGATATATAAGGGGATGACATTTAGTTTAATAGCTATCTTCAATGCGTTCGAATTTAAGACTCATGATCTTAATCAAAAACTCAATAATCGCCACAATTCCATACTGATAGTTACCATATGCTCACTAGTGACTAGCTTCCAGAGGTAATCCTCGGAATTCTAGTGATAAGCCGTGGCTACCGGAGTTCAACTCGTGTCGGGTAGAGACCGTTGTCTACCTTAGACAATGGAAGATGGTCGCATAATATCGCGGATTGGTTGAAGTTAAACTTTAGCACCGTTGGTTCCCGACCGGCTAAGTGGTCTAGACGTTAAGGGTTTTGGGCTTTAGTCCCTCATGTGGAATCATGGACGCACACTGCTTAAGAGTCCCATACTAGAACGAAACAACCGTTGAGTGCTTCCAGGTTTTCAAAGGTGATCTAACATTGACCTCAATCAAAAACTTAACAATCTCCACAACCCCATACTGTTAGAATCTATAGCCATGTTTAAAATAAGATTATTTCATAAGTAACATAATCATTGAACAACAATTTGATTTACCTATAAACTATTATATGTCTTATCATTTTTTTCACATTCATATGTTAACTATGTTTATCTACCTGAATCAATAGTCAATATTCATTCGTGTTATTTGTATAATGAACGGTATGGGTATTTGTTTGTTTGGTAACTCATTACTACAGATTTTCTCAGCAGGTGAATTAATAATTACTTAGCAATCTTTTGTATTAGTGTTCTTAAATTCTGGTGTAATCAATTGATTTCATAACAACTTCATTTGAAATTCTTCGAAAGTGTTTCCTTAAAGATATATATTATTAATTCATTATGATAGTAATGAATTAGTTGACTTGTCTAGTTATAAAATTATTTTCATTCAACTTTATCCTGAGAAAAAGTTCCCAATTGTTTCCAGTTAATATTTATCGTTCTGAAGGTCTGTCTACGATTTCTGACACAGTATGTTCTTTGTCCGCCCCCTTTTTCTGTTTCACTTCAAGATTCTGAAGTTAGCGCCTGTCTCTTCAATGTATATCATATCCTTTTTCAGTATCTTTTCTTAATATCCTCTTCAATGAGAAGCTGGTTTGTTCTCCTCCACAGTAGGTCGTTACTGATGGTATCCAACCAACGAACATTGAGTATCTTGAGTGAACTTATACTTCTTAGATGATGGTTGTAGTAGTTCTCAAAGTTTCAGCTCCGTACAGTAGAACTGTCTTGATATTAGTATTGAAGATTCTGCCGGTCATAATTAGTTCAAGTTTCTTGAAACTTTCTTCAACGTTGAGGGCTATACAGCCTTCGGTCTTCCGCGAATGCCTAATCTCTAGGTGACTGAGCCAGGATCCAATGGCGTTGATGCCCAACTTCATCCAATCCAAGATAATACGCGACCATCATCCATTGTCTTCGTTGGGTAACTCCTTCACACCGGATACGGTTGAACTCCGTTGATCTCGGCTTCTAACTAGAATTTCGGGAATTACCTTTTGAGGTTGTTTTATATATTTTAGATAACTACCATCAAAGATCATATATTATTATATCTAACATCAAGACAATATGTAAGAAAAATGAGATCAATTTCAAATATCTATCAACTCAACAGAAATTGAAAAGGTACTTATAGTATCATTCACATTTTAATCAATTAATTCCGGATGATTTCATCATATTAAGCTTTCTGTTCAATATGGTATTGTGTAGATTATTAAGTTTTTGATTGAGATCATGAACCGATTGATGTTAGACCACCATTCAAAACCTGGAAGCACTGGACGGAGTTCTAGAGAGAAGCCGTGATCAGTAGTGCTAATCCGTGTCGGGTAGAGATAGGTATCTTTTTCAGTACAATGGAAGATGGTTGTGCAACATCGTGGATTGATTGAGGTTAGACACTAACACCGTTGGATGCCGGCCGTATCAGTGGTCTAGTAAGTTGGGCGTTCGCGCGCGAGATTAAAGACCCTGGGTTCGAATCACGCGAGGGGGGTTCGTGGATGCGCACTGCTGAGGAGTTCCACAGTAGGGCGAAACGGCCGTCCAGTGCTTTCAGTTTTTTAATGGTGGTCTAACCTCAATCGGTTCATGATCTCAATCACTAATTTTTCTGTTCAAAACAGTTTTTAAAAAATCTAATGGTACATTTAATAATTTTATATACAGTTACATATAGTAGTTATCAGTAACAACCAGAAAAATATCAACGTTTATATCTTCATTATCAACGTGAGGTTAACCAACTAAACAAACTTTATAAACAACTTTATTAGCAAAGATAGATGGTGGTTAGCAGTGGAATCCAGGATGTGCGTTTCGTTCTACTAAGGACTCGTCAACTGGATGTACCTGTATCTCAAACTTGATGTCCACCCCAGGACTCGAACCCAATACCTTTCCGTTTAAACGCTATCGTATTATCCATTTATGTACTGAATCCTTATAACCACCCGATTTATTGCAACGCCTAATAACAATGGGGAAATACAAATAAACAATATCAAGTGAATTTAATAAACAACTGTTTTCTTTTTTGTTGTTGTCTCACAATAAACGTGTTTATCTATATTGTCTTTCAATAAATATTCTATTTACAAAACAAATGTTAGAATATTTCATTCACTAAGTAACTAGTTCTATGTTAATAATATTGTATATAAGATGTTGAATTGGTTTCTTGGCATCAAAACTATGATTTATATGACAGTAGATGACCAAATGATAAATAATAATAATGAGTGAATGAGTGAATGAATGAATGAATGGATGAGGAAATGGTTTCTGACCAAATGATAAATCGATGATAATATCTACATGGGTGATATGATCGTTATTATTTACAGTATCTATGAACTCCACACATTAATAACTAGTGTTTATGAATGAACTACATGAGAGAAACTAGTAAATGTTTATATTTCTATTACTATTCTATAATAAAAAAACAATAATATCAAGCAATCTAAATGAATGTGAGCAAACATACGTGTTCCGATCCGATCAACATGTAGTTTACAATGTTAGTAAATTTGGGTATACATGTAACAGTTAGAAATGAATGTTTGTTCATAAGATTAAATACTAAACTTAAATGGTATTTCTTGGAGTTCTAGTGAGAAGCCGTGATCAGTGGAGTTCATCCGGGTGTGTTGTGAGATAGTAACTCAGTGAAGACGATGGTGAGCAGTGACTCAATTTTGTGGATTGGTTGAAGTTAGACACCATTAACACCGTTGGATGTCGGCCGGCTAAGTGGTCTAAAGGTTAAGCGTTCGCACGCGAACTCGATAGATTCTGAGTTGGAATCTGGAGAGGCGGAATCGTGGGTGCGCACTGCTGAGGCGTTCTATTCTAAAAAGAATAGACCATTCAGTGCTTCCAAATTTCTCAATTAAATTATGATTCATTGGTATTGATATATTATTGAATAATGTTTAATAAATATGTTATATTGCATGTACATTTTGTAAAAAATTACCCTGATTATAAGGGTCAAATTATACAAATATTTCCCGGTGGATAAATATTCCTGAAATTATTCCTACAAACACTGTATATCTTTAAGGTTACTAATAGTGTGATGTGTGCTACTTATATCGACATGGGTAGTATACAACGATAGTCGGGATTAAAATGTCTGGCAGCAGAAGGTCGTGAAGGAAAGAACAAGTACAGAAATTTATTCATATGAAAATGTAGGAATCGAAGAAGTCTCAGACGATTAACTGATATTTACTAAATGAACAGACAAGTTGGAGACAATCGATTAATATTTTTCAAATGAAGTATTTACTGTATAGTTCTCAGATTTTACTAAGAGATTCTATAATTTTGTGTTCAATTACTTTCGTTTGTCGCCGCTTTTGTTCTCATTCACTACAGTAGAGATATAAATGGAATGGAGTCTATACATTTTGTGTAAAATATCATATACATAACATGTGAACGATCGTTTCTCATTATATTTCTTACAGTTAGCTACAATTTAAGACTCTATACATTAAAAATACCATGTTACACGTCATAGGTGAAAAAAAGTGGAAAACATTGCTTATCTGTTAACATTTCGGTCTTTATTCATATCAACAACATATTGTTCTTCTTGCCGATTTCATCAAATGTTATGTCCATATTAACA